AATTTGAATGTCAGTTTAGTCTGAAAACTTTTACCAATTACAAAAGCTTTAAACTTTCATTAAATTATAGTCACGAATTTTCGCAGATAACTCTAAAGGAAAGGTCGGAATGAAAAAGTCTGGGAAGTTGATTTTTCCCACTTTTACGAACACGTACACAGACAGACACTAAACAATATGTGTTTTTGCATTTGCATCAAATGCGAAAACACACAATAAAGTAGTGGCCTAGGGTTCACGATATTATCAAAACAGTGTACGCAAAGCACTGATCTGGTCATGTGGTAAGAATGAGAGATATAATGTCGGGAAAACCCGAAAATTTTAATTGTAACAATTGCTTGAAGATATTTAATTTTGTTTATAGGATTCAAATTGTTCTAATTTTGTACTATTTAATTAACTAGATGTATGATTTTGTTTATTAGATCTTGGATGTTGTAATTTTATGCTGCCTGATTTAACTGAAAATATATTGCTTTATTTATAAGGTTTGAGTAAATGTAATTTTGTGCCTGCTCATTTATGTTATGATATATATCGTTTTGATCAGTATTTAAGCAGTGCCCGGGAATCGGAAGTTTTTCAGTGTTTTTATAAATCAGGTGGAGTATTGTTGGTCTCTCACACTTCCATTCGACTAATCTTACCCGTCCAACTCTCGATCGACTAATATTGTCCATCCAGCCACATCCGAAGCAAGGAGCAACTCTTTTAATAGGCGCCTCGGCCCTTAACAGTTCAAAAAGGAAAGTTCTGTTGTGGTGAACCTGAGCCACAACAACACTAACAGACACAACACATGAGATGAACGAAATGAATTACTGAATGATACTCGCCAGGGTTAAAGGAGCAAATGGGAGGTAATGCAGGGTGTATTCTACTTTAGTACCTGTATGCATATGCATGATTGAAAAAGACTCAGAGTTAAGGATGGCGAAGTTGCCTGCTGCATTGATAGCGAATAGCAACAGCTGACCAAAGCAATGTCGCACAATATTTGACAAACAATTAAGCCAAGTAAGCATACTTTGAGTATAAGTAAGCATACTTGGCTATAAGTTCTGCTAATGCCCGCTAAATGTGCAAATTTACCTTTCCGGACAAAAGACAGCTTCGAATTTCTTCATTTTTGGGAACATTTGGAAGGGTGTTTTTTCTTTGCATTAATTAAACACACAATTGTAGAAATACAAAAACAATGGGGATCGAACTTCGAAATGTGTGGGAAAAACAAATCTGTATGCAGTTTGTCATTCCACATTCGCAAACACAGACAAAATAATGAAAGCGAGTAGAAACGAGAATCATCAGTACGGCTTCAGAACTAGCTTAGTAAGCATGAAGAACACAGTCAATAGAAATTTCGCTGACTGGCTCGATATAACGCAAGTAGCACTCCTTTCGGTTTAAAAGTTGATGTCTTAATTTTGCTAGTGGGAAAGGCCACGTACTCATGATTCTTTGGTCCTTCTGGCCGCATTTTTTTCAGTACATACTAAAAATAGTAGAATAGAAGGACTAGTCTTAAGTGTCATGCGCCGGAAGACATTTTACGATGTTGTTAGTCCGTGTTTCATCCCTTAGCTGTAAACATAGGCTGAGCAATGTATACGGGTAGGAGCGGGAATCATCAATACAACCTCCTACCCGCTACGTTCTGAACAGTCATGTGGCTAATTTCTAAGACAGATATGTGAAAGAAAGAGAAATCAGAGAAAGAGCAAACAGAGTGAGAGAGGAGAGGAAGAAGAGAATGGTAACCCATGATCCAGACAGAAGAGAATGCTAATCATTCTATGCCAGTTATGAGTAAATATTTTTATGAGTTTAGCATGCTGTCTAGGAGTTTAATTCCTGAATCATCAGGGAAGATGTATTTGCTGAGTACAGACTGGATCCTGAAGCAGAATCTGAGAACGGCGCGTTCTATTTTGCCGGAATCAAACTTTTTGTATCTATAGATACTTATAAGCCGTCTAGTCTGGTCATGGAACTCCTCTGGAAAGGTGCATATAAGTGTATAACGAAGCAGTTGCGATGCAATGACACCTTGAAATGGCTTGATTTACTGTAAAGAAGTTAAATTGTTATAACTTTATTTCTAAGCAGCCCTCAACAAAGAGGGCTAGCGACGTTTGGCTTAAGTGTGGTACTATTAGCAGTGCTTCCACTAAATTATTTCCAAACGGCTCTGCCTTACTTTATGGAATACGGCAGAGGTTTTTGGGGTTTCCATTGAAATTTTCAAAATAATAAATTTTCGAAAATATAGCGATTTACCATAGCCTTTAGAAGAAAAGGGCATCTGACCCATTTCTGTTCAGACCGTTGAAATGCACTGTCAGTTTTCACATGTTATAAGGGAGAAGATGTGCTTACTCTTCCAGTTCATGTCCTTCCTCGTCGAAGTTCTCCTCGATGAAAAGGCGCACAGCTTCTCGATCGTTAACTGTAATATCGCGGGGAAATTTGCGCTTAAAATCGGCGGCAACTTCAGCGGGATCGCGTTTCAGGGGTTTATCGACGAACGTTTTCGAGTCTTTGAAAATATTGAGCATCATGACTGCGTGTAGCAGATCACCCTGACAGTAAATCATGTAATTTTGGGAGTGACTCTCGTCACATGCCCATTCTGGCGCTTCAAATGCACTGCTTATGACATCCTCGTTGCTTGGGATCGCTATGTGTTCAGCCTCCTTCTCCTTCTCCTTCTCCTTTGCATCCGCGGTATGCTTTCCCGCACCGGGGCCTGTACCTCCTCCACCAGCTGCACCCTCATGGCTGGTTGCTGGCTTGGTAGCTGCAGCTCCAGTGCCCGCGGTTGTATTTGTGGTTCCAGTTGTAGTCTGTGGGCGACTGCTCGTTGCTCCTCCATGTCTTGAGAGTATTCGGGAAGCCATGAGCGCTGTCTGGATGAAATCAACAGCACCAAGATGCTGTCTCGCCAACGGTATTTTCTCCAAGTCCTTTTTGTCTATTTGATCAAGTTTATTTTTGAGGATCGAAGCCATTTGCTGCCCATAATCGATTACACCAGCCAAAGGCCCTTCCACAGCATATTGCTTAACTGTGACTAATCGTATCGTGATTGGATCTCGAAAAATATATCCAACAATAGCGAAGAAGATTAGCAATACGATTATGATTACTTCGCGCGTGAGTCCTTCTCTTAGCATTCTAAAATTTCTCTCAGGATTTTCTATTCGGCAAAGAAAACTTGTACCAAGATTTCATCCCGATTAAAAAAGAGATGGCCTGAAAAAGGGACTGCGAATTGAGTGGTGCTAATTCAGTTCCTTGCACTGTATGATTTGAAAGTGAACTTCGCAGAAAATTCTTAATTTTCCTTTTTATCTTCCTTTTTACATTTAAAATTCACAGGCAAAAGAAACTGGGCGTGAAAATGCTCATAAATTCATCGCGTCCCCAAAAAACCTCGCTAACATACAAATAATTAGCTTAACGGAAACTGAAGATACGCACCCGCCAGTTAGTTCAGCCACATAAGAAATTAAGAAATTCTCAACTGCTGTTTCCGCTCGAGGAGCTACATTTATAGTCAAGTCAATTTTATGCGTTTTTGCATATATGCAAACTGAAAAACGCACATTGGCAAGAGGCTGTCTGTGTGTGTGTCTATGTTCGCACTTTTTGTCACCCACTATTAACTCGAGAACCAAAAAAGTTAGAGGGCTAAAACTTTGGGGGTATGTGCCCACACCATGCGCGACCCTCCCTTCTTAATACCATCGCCCGCCCACGCCTGGGTGTCGCGTACGGATGTCTCAAAAAATATGCAAATTTTTTGGCGGGAAAGCAATCTCGGGAGCTAGACAAGATAAGGGACTGAAACTCTGCAGGGATATTCTCTGTGCATATGTGAGTT